ACTCTGTCAAATTCGTAAAAGATCCGAAATAGTGTCCGAGATTTCCGTAATTCGTAATGTCCGTAAAAGCCCCAAATACATAAAATAGAGAGACAATCAATGGCTGTAAAGAAGAACATTAAAACAATTAACGTGGTTAGCTCGCTTGATGAACGTGTTGACGGTGTGAAAGCAAGAAGATGAATGCAAGTGGAAAGTAGAAAATCTCTCGAGTGCACAGCCGACGCCTAGTTAATTTTGTTCCTCTCATTTCATTGGCTTACAGAAAGTTACGCCTCTTGCCATCCGCACCGCGCGCGTCCCACAGCATGATTGCATGCGTGGCGAGCCAGTCAAGCGGTTCGGTCAGCATAACTCTCCAACCTCCCTTCCCCGTCTCCTCTTCTTCCAGCCTCTTTTGGTGATACAAGGTCCACGTTTTGGCTATAACAAAAACAAAGAAACACCTATCCGCAGCCAGAGACACTGTAAAGCCGGGTCTGAGAATGCGAAGTGGATTTGTTCGAGATTCGAGTGTTGCGTGTTCCGACCGTTCGGGAACTCCGTGAAGTCAATACAAAAATACCAATAAAACATAGGGACTGACATGGGACCGAGCACTATGTTCGAGATACCTGAGAACTCGTAATTTTTGTGTTCGAGATTCGTGGACTCTTATGTGTGTGTGTGTGTGTGTGTGTGTGTGTGTGTGTGTGTGTGTGTGTGTGTAGATAGATAGATAGATAGATAGATAGATAGATAGATAGATAGATAGATAGATCGATCGATCTTACTACCTCATCTCTGACTGGGATCTGTCTTGTTTTTCTTAACACTTCCACGTCGGTGACCCTGTCAGTCCATCTGATCCTCAGTAACTTACTTAGACACTTGTTCAAGAAAACCTGAATTCTTTTTATGCAAGTATGTGATGTGTTCCATATCTCACATCCGTACAACAGGATTGATTTCATATTTGAATTGAACATCCTCAGCTTTGTTTGAAGCGAAATATCTCTGATCTTCCAAACTCTATTCAAAGATATATGAAAGCAGCCTGTGCTTTTCCAATGCGGGACTTTATTTCAACATCCGTTCCACCCTCTCTGTCAATTGGTCACTTTTAAGGACAAGCGGGCTAACACAGATTTTCGCTGGTTTCCAGAAATCTTGACCTACACCGAAAGTGGGCATTGCCCTGCCGATAGGAGAATTTTGGTTTCATTAGTGCGTTTCTTTCTAAGACACTAGCTCAAGAAAACCTGAATCCTCTTTATGCAAGTCTGTGTTGCGTTCCATATCTCACATCAATACAACAGGATTGGATTGATTTCACATTTGCATTGAAAATCCTCAGCTTTGTTTGAAGTGAAATATTTGTTTGGTCATGGAGAAAACTCTCCTTGTCTTTTTATGTATGTGTACATGTGTGTATATATATATACATATGAGAGGATGTTTTTATATAGATATATATATATATATATATA